AACTGATGCGACTCTTTCCCAGCTCTCCATGTCTTTCCAGACCAGCTAAGCCTCGTGCAAGGCATCACTCCGAGGGAAGATAGAGTCCAGGAGCAGTGAGTACCATCAGATTTAATCTGCAGTATTGAGTCCCCATGTAATTAGCTACCTGTGAACTTGATGGCTTTAGTTTGTGCCTCTGTCAAGGCCTGGGAAATGCTCCTTTTTTTGGTAGTTTTGGTAACAGGAGACTGAAGGGAGGTGTAGAATAGTTGAGGCAAAAGGTGATTTCCTAACACAAATGTGTCAGGTGGGATTTGCCCAGAGGGATATTCATTCCTAGTATCTTCTYGGTATCTCTTGGCTTTTTCAAAGCCCTGGGATTGGGAATCATGGGAACATCTGAGGAACTCAGTTTTTCTTTCAAAAATAGAAGTCGCTTTTCTTCCCTCTGTTACAGGGGAAACCTTGAAAAGGTCATCCTGTAAGAAACGCTTCCACTTCAGCTCTCTTAATCTCCTCCTTCTTTATTCAATTCCTTAATTTGGAGAGAAACCCTCTCCATTCAGAGCGCACCATATGGTTGCGGATCACCACGGTGGAAGAGCCGATGTCGTCAAACCCTTGGTGACAGATGCCCTCATTTCCCGCAGAAASGGGCCCATGTGATGCCGCTCCACGTACGCCTGCCGCGATGAGCTTAGAATACATGGTCCCTTCCCAACACAGCCTTGGGGCTCTCTTGCTTGGGGCTCATTCCCCCACAGCGCTTCATGCTGTGTCTGCAGAGGATTGGGTCCTGTTGGCCCTGTAGTTGGGCACTCAAGCGTTTCTTCCATGGCCTTAGCTCAAAACCCATCCACGCTCGTGGAGGTCATGTGCACTCAACRCTGTCCTCAAGACCTTGCGTGCCCCTTCAGGTCCCTAGGCCACCACGCTGTGCTCARGGTTGCTTTGAGGAGCACAGTCCCAAGGACAATCCAGGACTATCCCCTTGATCCGRTGTCCATAAGCGGGCCACGAGCAAGCAGAGAGCGCGTGGTTATTTACGGGGCAAGGATGAGCTACGGCGCTTATAGAAAACGTATTAATAATTCCCCCCCTTTCCCTCCGCGTCGGCTAAATTGATTCTTGAACTGCTAGCAGTCGCATTGCAATAAATAGAGTCGAAATCCATTGCGCGTAATGGTTTATAAATTGTGAGTCATAATTCAGCAGGAGCCCCGGGTTCGGTTTGCCGGCGCTTTCCTTCCCGCAGCCTCTAAACCTGCCCAGGGCTGGGGACCCGCATTTATTTTTGCCCAGCCCAAGGGGAAAAAAAAACGTCCCCCGGGAAAAGCGCCGCAATTGGAGTGCGGCGCAGAGCCCGCGCAGGAAAATCCATATCTTCCATAGATTTGTTATCCGTCACATGAAGTGGAGCAGGGATATTTTTAAAACCGGGGCCCATTAAGCTCTCCAAATGGCCCGGYTCACCTGTTATTTTAACGACACGTCGTGACACCGTATATCTTAGCCCTGTTCCTCCCGGACTTATTAACTCGGAGCTGTCGCATCCCATTTTGGGAAGTAAAATGTCGCGGAAATGGCCACTCCGGCAGCACCGCAAGGAGCAAWATGAGCTTTTATTGGGCGCAGGGAACACAAGCAGCATTTTTGAGGGGGGAAAAAAGATATCTCGGTGTCATTCCCAGGAGCAGAAAGTCATCTCGAGTGCAAAGAAAGTTTCCCACCCCGCAGAGTGATGCTGGCCGCAAAAATCCCCGCCCGCGCAGGTGGGAAAAAACAACCGCGGACAGGGGAAAAAAACAATTTGTGCTCTYGGAGCATAAGAGCCCTCCTCCCCTCGAAGGGAATAAAAGCCAGAGTGAAGCGAAGGTAAATGCCAGAGGTTTAAGCACCGTGCTGCCGAGGGGGTTTTAAAGGTTACCTTTCAGGGGGTTGAGGAGGGAGCGAGCGGCAGAGAGGGAAAAGAGCCGGAGCACTTTCCGTGGCGAGGGCCGCTTCGGCTCTTAATGGGTTTTTATATCCCTGTCTGCTTTGGGGGACATTATTACAATTGTTTATTTTTAGGTTTTTTTTTCCCATTTTTTCTTTTTCTTCGGCCGGTTTTCAAGGACAGAGCCGGAGAGCAGGTCTGTGGCCATGGAAATATCTGTCGGCGCATCCGCATCGCCACTCCAGACCCCTCCATCTGGGCAGACATTGGGGCGACTAATAACAGCACGGAGCAGGTCGGTGGGAGCAGACGGGAGTGAGCAGGACAGCAGAAGCCGCCCGGGCTTGTTTCTTCCCATTTTCCTTGATCATCCCTTTTTATTCCCGTTAATTACCTCAAATGCCCAGACGGATGGATTCCTCTCTCCCAAGGCCAGCCTGGGCGTAAACATCAAGCTGGGTGGGAAARGGCTGCAGGAGATGGTCACGGGCAAATGCTACGGGGATATATAAATTTCTGGTGCCGGTGCCTGCGTGGGCTGTTTCCTGAGCCCTGCATCCCGCTCAGGAAGGGGCTCCATGAATCCCGCATCGTCCCGAGCTCTGGGAGCCGTCCGGCTGGCGGATGCCCCCGTCGCACCGGGGATGTCCCCGTCACTCGGCGGAGGATGTTCCTCCACACCGGGCAGTGACACATGGTCACCCGGGCCGGGCTACAGCCGGGAAAACAAGCGGAATGACAGCGGCGAGGCCTCCCCCCCCCGGCTCGTAACTCTGTCATCCCGGCTGTCAAAGTATGTTTGTCACGGAGCAAGTCCTGCCATCCCCCCCTTTTCCAGGCTCCGGCTGAACTCATCCGCTTGGAACAAAACCCAATATTCATTTCCTCCCTGGGCAGTTTATTTTATTATCGGCTCACCTGCTCCCGAGGTTGAAAAGCTATAAGGCTAGCTAGGTCTTCAAAATTAAATCCTGGTTTTTGGCCCTGTTTTTCTTTATTYTGTTTTTTGGTCTCCCCTGCCCAGCAGTGTCCCTGGCAGGCCTGTCCTTGGCAAAAGCACTTGCGTCTGGGGCCGGGATGAGGGAATCAGGAAGCCCCGTTTCTCACCAAAGCAGCACCATTCCAGGGCCTGGGACAAGCCCGGAGCAGGGAGCCCCTTTGGGGCAAAACACTAAGGTTTTCCTCTCCCAGGGGCTGCTCCATTAACGCAAACAGACAGCGGTGGCTGACACTGGGGTTAATTAAATCCATCTCTCCATCAATCCTTACTCAACTATTATCGACGGCCATTAGATCAGTGGCAAAGCGACAAGGAAACRGGAGAGGGAAGGAGACCCCGGCTGCGCCGCGAGGCCGGCCCGGGATGCTAAATTGCCGGCGTGGGCTTGTAGGACATTATTGCTGCTGAATTATGGAGAGTTATCGCACCTCATGGACAATAAAYTATGGAGGAGACGCYGGCACCCAGGGAGCCTCCGCAGCCCCTCCGGAGGCTCCGGGTGTATCCGGGTGACAACACTCGACCTCAGCTCGTCTCGCAGGGAAGAAGTGCGGTAGGAAGCGGAGCGCTTTGCCTGATCCCACACCGACGGATGCAGGCGGAGCATCCAGGACTGGCTGAGGCTCGGGCAACTCACCGCACGTTGGAAAAGCAGGGGGAACAGCGTAAACACCTGGGGAGAAAAGCAGCCCCTGCGCTTAATGGCACTTTGTCACGCACTGCGTTGCAAAACTGTGTTGGGCTAACCCTCAATTTGCACGGCTCTAATTCGTGTTTTGAATACCAGACAGCTAAACGCCACCGAGCGTAACCCACGCAGCCTCTCCGATTCCCAGGTCGGCTCACGGTGGCACCGCGGTTTGTGGGAGGACCCCGGCGTCCTGCTCCGAGCACGGGACCGGCGGCAGGGTGCCAAAACCACTGCCGGGTCCCAGCAGAGCTGAGGATGATGAAGAGCAGCCTGTAATTACAGTGAGGGCTTCTTCGCCCCCACTGCCCTGCCCTGGAGGAGCGGAGCAGCTGCCCGCAATTAAAAGTAGTTACCCGTTCCCAGGCTATTTTAACTGTTTAGARGGGCTGGTTGGGGCTGGTTTTGTCTTAACCTGCACAGGAGGGAGCAGTTTTCGCTGCCTTTGCTCGGCCTGGCTGAGTTTTAAAGGCAGCCCGAGCCAGAGGTGCTCAGTGGGTGGAAAAATGCAGCCTGACTCCTCAAAGTCGGCAAACGTGCGAGTTTTGCCAATTGTTTGTGACAGCAGGTATACACATATATATATATACGTATGTACGTATGTACCTATACATAACTGCAAATAGGAGGTTGCAGGAGGTGGGTGCCCCCCTCCCCGCTTGCCTGCAATGCCCGGCCTCAGTTTCTTATTTGGGCCATTCCTYTGGTTTTCCTCTCGTTTTCCTCATTTCTGCTCTGTCTTATTTGGCTCCCGCAGCTCCGCCTTGCAGCCCGGCTCCGCATCCCGGCTCCGGGGCGGGTTGGGGGCCGCACATTGACAGCCCCTTCCCCATCCCTCCGGCAGCAACATCGTCAGCGGGAAAGGGGGCAAAGGGCCTCAAAGGGGGCAAAGCGCCCCAAAAGGGGGCAAAGTGTCCCAAAGGGGGCAAAGTGCCCCAAAAAGCGCAAAGCGCCCCCAAAGCGGACAAAGCGCCCCAAAAGGACCGTTTTTTCGGGGATGGCAGGTGGGGGGGGCGGTGAATGTCGGTGCCGGGGGGYGGTCCGAGGTGGGGGTCCGCTCGGTCCCGAGCTCCCCCTTGCGCCTCCTCGTCCCCATTGCAGAGCGGCCGGTGGCTCTTTCGCGCCGTTGCCAGCTCGGCTCGCTGCGCTCCTGCGGCCACCGCCCGTTCAACACCCCGCGTCCCGCGGGACGGGTGCGGGGCCGAGGGGCGGGCAGCAGAGGGGCACC